AATGAATTATAGCCAATAAAGTTGCTATAAAATTGGGAAATTACAGCCAGGCATGGTGGCACATGCCTGTAATCCCAGCTAGCTGGGAGGTTGGAAAAAAACTACCCCAAAATATATATATATATTCTAGTTCTATATCTATATGTTGCAAGTTGAGTCTGCCTTATCTGAAAAGTTTAGAACAAGAACTGTTCTGAATTTCAGGGTTTTGTTTTTTTTTAATTTTGGAATACAGAGTTTGCATATAAATAACGAGATACCCTAGGGATGGCATCCGAGACTAAACACAAAATTCATTTATGTTTCATACACACCCTTTACACATAGTCTGAGTCAATTTTACAGAATATTTTTAATAATTGTGTGCATGGGGAACTTTCATAGTGTAGAGTTCTCCATGTAAGGTGTCACGGTGTCACATCAGCACTCAAAAAGCTTCAGATTTGGGAGCATTCAAATTTCAGATTTTTGGATTATGGATGCTCAACCTGTCTAATTCCTATTTCAGAACCACAAGGTGAACTTTTCAATACATTGTTATTTTACCGCTCCAAACAGTGCTGGGTATGGGACTGGGTATAAGGAAAGATCAGAAGCAATCTATGTGCTATAGAATATGAACTTGAAAATTGGGCTGAAAACCAACATAAGATTCAAGAATGTAATAATCCTAAAACACAAATTGTTACAGATCAAAATCAGGCACTTATCAAACCACCACAGAAAGGCTGCGACACCTTAAGATTTTATCCATCGAAGAATCAGAGTGTAGGGATAGAGACCTGTAGGCAGGGAGAGATGAGGGACCCACCACACACACACACACACACACACACACACACACCCACTGGATGAGTTCAGATAGCTGGCAGAACAGGGTTAACCGCCTGTGAAAAGCTCAGTCTGCAGTTGCACCTCTTCACACTGTACTCTGCAAAGCTTGGTTTGCTAAGATCCAAAGGAAAAATGCCTTGGCCCTAAGATGCAAAAGGCCTTCTAAAAGACCCTTCCCTGTTGTCCCTAGTAATGAGCTAACTTGATCATTAACCAATCAAGTAGGGACACCATCAGCCCAGAGGGAGGACAGGCCCCCACTACTATAAAGCCAGCATCTTGAGCCCCCCTGCAATGGTGGCTCCGTTTCGGGCACCCCTGCCTGTCTCGCTGAGAAAAGGAAGGTGTACTCTTGCATGCTTGCTGAATAAAAGTACAACATTGATTCTGTGTTTTTGGCCTCTTATCTGATTCTTCCACAACCTTCTGCGCCATAGGGAGAGTCAGGCCCAGGACTTCGGGGACTCTCCACCTGTCTCCGCCTGCGACAAGAGCATCTCAATTAATTCACACTGCTAAAATGCAAAGCTTAAATTAAAAATATAATTAGCCAGGTGCAGTGACATGGGCTTGTAATCCTAGCACTAGGGAGGCTGAGTTAGGAGGATCACCAGGAGTTCAAAGCCAGTCTGGGCTACATAGCAAGTTCAAGACAAGGCTGAATACCGTAGAATGCAAATTAAAATAAATGCATTTGAATGTTAAAAAAAATGGTTGGTTAAAAGAAATAGGTTCTCACTCAAAATTAATAATTAGTAAATTAATAAGTTTCTTTGTTTGGTGCCAAATTCTCTCACCTAAATACAGATTCACAGTGACAACTGCATACCAGGCGTCTCCTTCTGCTTGGTACTCAACGCCTCATTTCAGTGGAGTCAGAATGGAATCCTCCCTTCCTTCACACCCCCACTTACTTCCTCTCAGGAAGGTCCTCGGCTCAGGCTCCAGCCCACCTGGCCATCTCTGGTCTTCACCACCCTCCCTCCCTTATTCTCTGGCACTGCCCAGGCATTAGGGCCCCTGCCCTCGCTGGTATCTCATTTCTGGTCTTCCTCAGACCTCCAGAGTATCCCAACACATCTCTCTGCTGCCACTCCTGCCTGGTGCAAGTCCACTCCTTATCCTGCCGTCAGCTAATTCCTATCGGACAGGAATCTCAGTGCATCAATCTCTGGCTTAATATCCTTTAAGACTGCTCCCCATCACCAGGAGGTTAAACTATAAAATATTCAGGAGGGCATGGCAGGCCCTCTGTAATCTGGACTGCTGAAGCAATCGAGGGGCTTTTCTCTCCTGCAAGCTTTCACAGGATTGGCTTTTTCTTGCAAAAAGATTGCTGCCAAGGAGTAAAAAGTAATAGCCTTGCAGCAGTAATGAAACATAAATACATACACCCAAACTATTCTGCATCCTTAACAGAAATGGCATTGGCACAGCACACTCCCAGGAATTAATCTTCATCTTCCATTGAGCTTCCAAACTGTCCTTTATCAAAATTTACCTAAAATTCACTTTAAATTGAGTCCAGAATACATTTCATATTCAGAAAATATTCCCATGGTCTTGTATCTGGCTGTCACAAGACGTGAAGCAAATGTAGACAGTGATGTGTCAGCTAAGCACATCCGTGGATGCCCCCTGTGCAGGGAGCACAAATACACCAAGGTCCTTGTCCCTTCTTACACTGTGCACACATAGAGTGCTCACCACCACACCACCACACCACCAGGAAACTTACTGTATGATTTAAAGTGATTTGTGTATTCATTTTCAACACTCATCTTCCATTTTCAAACAAGTTTCCACTTTACATCACTCACACAAATAATTACTATAAAAGCCCATAGGAAAATTAAAATTCCCTTGCCTCAGAAATATTCTGCCACTCAGGAGGTTGAGGCAGGAGGATCACAGAGACTTCAAGGCCAGTCTGGGTTGGTGAGTTCAAGGACAGCCTAAATTACAAAGGGAAAACCTGTCCCCTCAAAAACAAAACAAAACAAAAAATAAATAAAAAGAAAAGAAAAAGACAGAGCCAAAGTTACTAAGTCTCTAATAATCATCCACCTATAAGTTACTCAAAATAAAGCTGTAGAATATTTTTTAACAAAATGGCGACAATGCTTAAAAATTAAGATCATTTCACAGAAGAGTGAAAAATTCATGCAAACTACCATAATGTGAACTATCCTAATCATAAGCAAATGCACATGCTTATCTTCAGATAAAGGAATCTGAGAAGGCTCTTAGCAAACGCCCTCTTTAATGCTTTATGTGAACCCAAGCAGACTGTTTTAGCAATGTTAAATTATCTCTAAGAATCAATCATTACACACAGTACTTTTAGGATTTAAATCAGCAGCCTTTTCTCTTGTTGCTGTTTGCCATGAGATAAGTCTGTGCTTAGTTATTTTTATTTAAAAGATTCTCAACATTTCTATTTAAATTTACTTGTCCAACAGTTTGAATATTCATTAAATATTGAAAGAAGTTTGGGTTGTGGTAAGAATATATTCCCAATAAAATGTGTCAGAAAACATCGTTAAACTCAAGTAGCTCTGTGTTTGCTAGTATTCATTACCAAAGTTTACTTCCAGCCTGCTTTGCTCTTTATCTATAAACTATGACCGACTCAAGTGCATAATCTAAGTATTTCTTGAAATCAACACCATTTCATAAATTATATACTGATGAGCATTTGCGGGTCAGTCTTTACAGTTGTTTAAATCATAAAGAATAATATATTCTACCATCTACCCCATAGGGAGCCCTCATTAACTCTCTAAAATCCAGAGGATCTCAAAATATTACCTCAATTAACATTGGCAGTGACCTTAAGAAACTCCACAGAGTGAGACAAAAGAACACGTTTACCCTCATTGCGCTCCCAAGTCATAAATGTACTATGCCATAAATAAGAAGAAGCAACATAAGTAAACAGAGATTTTCATCAGTCTTACAAACCTAACAGTAAAAGAACAGTTTTCATGCATGTAGACTACACACGAGCCTATTCAAAAAAGATTCTTTTTAAAGATGTTTTCACCTTTTAAATGAAAATGATTTCAAACTTAGAAATGGTTAGAACAAGAGTAGGTTTAGAAAGCTTCTTTATCCAGATCCACATATTTTTTGGCATGTTACAAAAAGAGTCTTTTAGGTATTTCAGGAATTCCAAAGAATGGATTCAAACATTCATCAACATGGAATGTCAACTGGTGAATTTAGAGTCCAAGAGAAGCAGTCAGTATTTATTTAAGATCTGAACCCAGAGAACTGTGTAGGCAACAATATAGAACAACGTAACCTCAGTCCTTGAAGAGTCATGCAAGCGCGTGGGACAGGCGGAGACCCAAATCCAATGACAAGGGAATATATGTCCACCAGCAAACCAGAGGTGAGGATCGTCGAACTGACAGGACAGTGACAGGGCATACAGTGGGAATCAGACAGAAAGCTGTGGAGACACAGAGACTTCTCCACTGAAGTAGGCTTTGAGTTAAGCTCGAAGTGAGAAGGCTGATATGATGGCAAAGAACCAGCCAATCCAGGCCCCAAACCTGGGAAGTCCAAAGGCACAGACACTAAGTAGTCCTTGGGGGTAGAAAAGAAGATTCAGATGTGCTTCATAAGATTTCTAAGAAACTTGTTTGAAGGGAAGAAGAAGACAAATCTGAACTCATACTGCATATGCAATCACAGTTACGAACCTAAAGACAGGCACACAAGAAATATGTTCAACCCTAATAACCTGAGTCGTAAACTCTATGGGGTCATAGAGCTTGTATGGCTTTTATATTATTTATAATAAATAGGGAAAGATACAACTTCATATTAAGGGAAAATGTCCTTATAATTTAGAATTCAATAGAGCTAACTGTAATAAGGCTTCAAATGACAGAAAACAGAGTAGCATTAAGATTCGGTCTCAAAATAAACAATTATTACTTTCATAAAACAAGACAGACTTTTTCCGCTCAGTACTAAGTAAAAGTATTTCATAGATCTTATTTGCAGAAACCAACTATTCACAGGGGAGCATGGGTTTCATTAGCAGATCAGGTTAACAGCATTCTCACCTGTTAACGGTAAGACATTTGCACACAGATGGATCCAGAGGACACAGCACAAACACAAACGCTGGGTGTGCTTTCCCATGCACTTACCTGCAGCTGCTGTCTGAGCTCCCGGGCCAGGATGACATCCTGAAGTGCATTTTCCCGCTGAGAGGCATCTGCCAGCACATTCATCATGGCCTCTGCCTCCTGCACCCACTTCAGGAAGTGGTCCAGGTCCCGGCGTGAGGCCTGCACTGTCCTCAGCTCAGCCTCCAGGGCACTCTGTCTATCAGCGATGCTGCAAGAAAAAACAATGTGACAAGCAGGCTCCATTACTTCCAGGGTGACATTCCTCATCATACACGTCCTGTGGAAAAATGTAGTGGACAGCCTCAAAGGGACTTTGATTTCAAGCACCAAATGTCACTTGGGACATTTACTTATATGTGTGTCTACCTAGAATCATCCTTAGCAAAGCAGTCATGGGGATCGTGCAAAGGCAGAAGAGACACAGATGTTATCAAAACCACATCCATACTGTGACATAATAAGATGACAGTTTCCATCTCACTATGTGCATTGAGTTGCTCCCTTGTACATTTATGCCAAGGCCTTAGTATAATGCCCAACACTCTGAGGCAGCATCAGTAAATGTTCATACAATCAGAGACTGCATGAATTCAAGAAAGGGGGAAAATCTGAAGAAATATCCAAGATTAAGTAGATAATTTAAGGTCAAATATGGTAGCACATGCCTGTAATACCAGCTACTCAGGAGGCTGAGGCAAGAGGACCGGAAGTTCAAGGCCAACCTAGGCCACTTAGCAAGTTTCTGTCTCAAAAGGGGTGGAGGGGGTGCTGGGAATGCAGCTGAGTTGTAGCGCACTTGCCTACTACTCTCCTATGCACAGGGCCTGGGGTTACATCCCCAGACTGCCACAATGATAATTTAACATAACTTTAAACAATGCCAATCAATACAAGATTTGATTTAATGGACATTCTGGGATGTCATCAGCCTTGCCCCTGCATCTGCTTATTTAAAAACCTCCAATAGTGTTTGACTGCCTCCAAAATAAATTCAAATTACCTCATGTGCAATGTAATGTCCTTTGTGGGCTCAACAATTTACTGCTGAACTTTATCCTCTAGTTTTCTCCCATATACTGCTTAGGTCACAGTGGTGTACTTCTTCTTCTTTAGATTATTAAAACTGTGTCCATATAAAAATTTTATATCCATATTAAAGTATCCTTCATATCATCTCCACTTAATAAATTCCTACTAATTCTTTAATGATTAAAAACCAACTCTTCCAGAAAATTCCACCCCAATTAGATTTCCTTGTCCAAAGTTCATAAAAGGTCAGTACTTCTCTTTATACAGAAATTAATCACAGGTGTACTTGAAAAGCCCTTGGATTATGATCTTGTCTCACACCTAAATTTTACTTTAACAATACATAGATTCTTATCCACTTTTTCTATGGGCAGAAATGGTTCTCCACATTCCTCAGGGTTCTTGTTACAGTATTACCATTAAGTATTTATAGAATAATGACGACCTATTTATAATGTGTCTTTAAGACTTTTCTCCCATAGACTATTTTCTAAGAAGCTCATAGGAGATGAACGCCACAAAATTCAATCTGCACATCAAGAAGGTAGAAGTCATGGGAGGGATAAAAAAAAAAAGGCTGAACACCAGGAGAAGCTAGGGTTCTTATGCTCATGGCAAAAGGAGATCACAGAAGAGACACTGTGAACTCAAACTGGAGAAGGCGGGGGCTGTCATCATTCTTACTGCTCTGCATTCTTGTTTTAACTTGAAAAAACTTACAAAGGATACGCTCAAACAAAACGAGGAAATAACCCAAAAAAGGAAAAATATGAAATCCAGGAAACAGGTTGCTCACTTGGGGAAAAGCAAAGAAAATGCCCAGTAGGATAACTGGGCAGGCCTAGAAAGCGGGTCTCCAGAAGTGACATCTCCGGAATAAAAGTATTAGAAGTGACAGGCTGCTTAATGTGATCGACTTTGCAGAAAATTCTACTGTCAGGCCATGTGAAAATGTGAAAAGAATTAGCAATAGGAGCAAAGAACACTAGGCATATAGAAACATGGCAATTATTAATTTCAGGTAAAACAAACAGAAGCAAAATCATAGTAAGCTTTAGTACTGGGCTATTCACAATGTTTGAACATGAATAGTAATGTCAATACTAAATATTTACCTAAAAATTCAATAACGAAGAAAGGAAGGGAAGAGTGGCATAAGAAAGCTATTTCCTATATATTGATGAAAACAGAATGACAGTACACAGTGCCTAATGTAAATGAATTAAGATAATTGCCTACACATTTTATTTAGAATATGGAAATGTATAAATGATATAAAGAAAAACTAATACAGTAGTTGTCCCTAGGGAGAAAGATTGCTATGATTACAGCGAAAAAAACCCTGTATTTTGTAATAAACCTTTCAGTGTACTTTGGGTTTTTTAAAAAAAAATCATAAGCATATTTCTTTGATTTTTATAACTTAAAACTTAAGCACCAGAACATGGGCAGTTGGTGGTGGTAGTGTCACCTTATCCTCCCCTAACCCTGCCCATATTTTCAACTTTTAAAACATCAACAGAAAACAGTATTAATAAAATAAATGCTGGGTCAAAAAGGTGCAAGAAAGCAAATAAAGAAGTGCACACATGCAATTAATTCTCCGTGACCAGACGATTTTTATTTTAAGAACAATCAGTATCTAAACTTATTAGAAAATTCAGGAAAATCAGGTGTATTTAGTTTTCATAATTAAAATCTGCATTATTTAAGAATAGCCAAATGTCCGTAACAGGTTATGCAGCAACTGCTAATGTCAAAGTAGATCATTACAGATGAGCTCTCTAAACCCTAGGGATACCTAGACAAGGAGAAAGGAAGCAAATGTCTAAGAACTGTCAGGGTGGAGGTAGGGAATTCCCTACACCCAACCAGTAGAGAGGAACAGGAGTTTTGTATCAGGAAACAGAAGGCTCCACCACTATTTACCCATGAAAACCCAAGAAGCCTGCCTCGTCCCCTCAAACCTCCTCGCTATCAACCCTGGGTACCCTGCTCACCACTCCAATGACCTCATCATCCCATGGCTCGTGCATTATTTATCTACAAAAATGAACCAACTGCAATCCTCCAAAGATCCCTGTGTCTGCCATGCCCATGGTTTTCCATGTCAGTTCTTCTAACCTTTTGCTTCTCTTCCCTCTTCTAGCCTCCAGCCTCAATAAAGCCTCTTCTTCTACTGACCCTACAGAAAGTGGTGTGAACACTTTCCACACTTTCCTAAAGCATCCCATGAGTTTCCCTACCATGGCCATTATTGTGCCATGGCTGCTGTAATAAATCAGCACAAGTTCAGTGGCTTCAAGTAACACAAATTTATTATCTTTTGTAGGTTAGTGTCTGACACAGGTCTTTAGTAAAATCAAATGACATTTTCAGCAGAGCTACACTCTTTTCTGCAGGCTCTTGGGGTGAATCTGTTTCCTTGCCTATTCTAGCTTCAAGTGGCCACCATAATCCTTAGTTCCACCAACAAAGGCAGCAACAGGAGATGAAATCCTCATGACACCTCTTCCTGACCCACTCCTCTCCTCCTCCTCCACTCTCAAGGATTAATGGAATAAGACTGGGCCCACCCAGATATCCAGGTTACTCTTCTCACCTTTCGGGGCCACTATGCTGCCTGCCTCATTGTGCCTCTGGTTATAGCTACAAGCAACTGTTTGGTCAGTTGAAAGCTTCCGAATGATCAATGCCCCTGGTACCCCAGGGCCTACACACAGTAGCAGCTCAAAAAGTATTCACTGAATAAACTAGTATAACAAAGGGAATAACACTTCCTTTGCAGTGATATTTTAAGGAGAAAATGAAGTATATGCACATAAACCTATCGAGATATGGTAAATACTCCATAAATATTTCCCCAATCTTATATATGAATTTGGTGAAATACTGGGAAATTACTATTGCTTATATCATGAAAATGTACAATTCAATAATAAATGTTCTGGAGAATTTTTCAACTTCACATATATCTAGTATCAAATTTTTTATCATTAATTTAATCAACTAATAAGGATAATGAAAAACACTGAAAACTAAACTCAATGTATAGCAGTCCAAATCCTCTTCATATTATTACAATGAACGGACACTTTAAATTTAAAATCAGGGACTGGAGTCATAGCTCATTGCTAGAAGACTTGCCTAGTGCACACACACACACAAGGTCTTGGGTTTAATCCCCACCACCGAAAAAGTAAAAAAAATTGAGACCATAATTATGATCATGACATATGTAGAGATATTTGTATGATGATTTTGAAATTAATATAATTTATATAAAATTTCTAATAGAATAAAGTCCAATTGAACTAGTTTTCTCCAGCCCCTAGTTTATTTTTTGAAAATTAGATCCAAAGCTACAAAACGGTATGCTGGATATTACAAAAATCTTTTCTCCATTTTCAAGAAATTTCACATAATTTACAAAAATGATTAGATGCTCAGGAATATATATGCACACTAACCACACAGGCCAATAAATTACCTTTAATACCATTTGTACACTGCTCTCAGAAGAAAAGGACCTAATTCCACCACCTCTGTCATTTACCAGCAATATGGTTCAGGGTAAATCATTTCAACTCTCCAATTTATGGGGTTTTTTCATCCTTACAATAAGGAGCTCAGACTTGCTCAGTAAAAAACGCATTTCACAATCTCTAGGGGTCATTTTAAAACTACATAATCCATTGCAGAGATTATGAAACCAACTGCAAGAGTTCCTCCAATCTCACCTCATCCTTGGTTTCAAATTCAGCTTCATGAAGCCATTGCTTATAAAAGAAATGCTACTGATGGGAACATGTGAGAAGTGTGAAACAGCAAAGAGGTTAGGAAGCATTAGTGTGGACAGTTCCTAAAATCACTGGCAGCATTGAACTCATATGAGTCCACAATCTCAATGTAGATTTTATATTTAGCAGTTCTGGCTTCTACATCCCAAGAAAAGATCAGGAGAGAGCTGAAGGAAATCCTGAGAAATGATGAGGGAATACAGGGAAAGGAGCACTATTACAGGAAAAGAAATTATTTTTTAACTTTAGGAAATGCATGGCTAAGAGGCAAAGGCAGAGAAGATTTTTGTAAATCTTTTTTTAATGTATAAATCACAAAGAATAAGGATAGGCTGAAAACCTAAAATATATCACATCTGCACTTTACAAGAGTAACTTT